CACCGCCCGCGACTCCTCCCCCACACCACCACCACCGCCCGCGACTCCTCCCCCACACCACCACCGCCCGCGACTCCTCCCCCACACCACCACCACCACCGCCCGCGACTCCTCCCCCACACCACCACCACCACCGCCCGCGACTCCTCCCCCACACCACCACCACCACCGCCCGCGACTCCTCCCCCACACCACCACCACCCGCCCGTGACCCCCCCACACCACCTCCATCCGTGCCTCCCCCACACACCACCTCCACCCGTGACCCCCCCCCCACACACCACCTCCACCCGTGACCCCCCCCCCCCCCCCCACACACCACGTCCACCCGTGACCCCACCCACACACACCACCTCCACCCGTGACCCCCCACACACCACCTCCACCCGTGACCCCCCCACACACCACCTCCACCCGTGACCCCCCCCACACCACCTCCACCCGTGACCCCCCCCACACACCACCTCCACCCGTGACCCTCCCACACACCACCTCCACCCGTGACCCCCCCCCCCACACCACCTCCACCCGTGACCCCCCCCCCCCACACCACCTCCACCCGTGACCCCCCCTCACACACCACCTCCACCCGTGACCCCCCCCCACACCACCTCCACCCGTGACCCCCCCGCTCACACCACCTCCACCCGTGACCCCCCCCCCACACCACCTCTACCCGTGACCCCCCTCACACCACCTCCACCCGTGACCCCCCCCCCACACACACCACCTCCACCCGTGACCCCCCCCCCCACACACACCACCTCCACCCGTGACCCCCCCCCTCACACACCACCTCCACCCGTGATCCCCCCCCTCACACACCACCTCCACCCGTGACCCCCCCCCCCTCACACACCCACCTCCACCCGTGACCCCCCCCCCCCTCACACACCACCTCCACCCGTGACCCCCCCCCCCCACACACACCACCTCCACCCGTGACCCCCCCCCCCTCACACACCACCTCCACCCGTGACCCCCCCCCCCCCACACACACCACCTCCACCCGTGACCCCCCCCCACACACACACACACCACCTCCACCCGTGACCCCCCCCCCCCACACACACACCACCTCCACCCCGGGAGCCGGTCGGCCGAGCGGACAGCACGCGGGACTTGTGATCCTGTGGTCCTGGGTTCGATCCCAGGTGCCAGCGAGAAACAATGGGCAGAGTTTCTTTCACCCTATGCCCCTGTTACCTAGCAGTAAAATAGGTACCTGGGTGTTAGTCAGCTGTCACGGGCTGCTTCCTGGGGGTGGAGGCCTGGTCGAGGACCGGGCCGCGGGAACACTAAAAGCCCCGAAATCATCTCAAGATAACCCGTGACCCCCTCCCCCACACCACCTCCACCCGTGACCCCCCCCCCCCCCACACCACCTCCACCCGTGACTCCCCCCCCACACCACCTCCACCCGTGACTCCCCCCCCACACCACCTCCACCCGTAACTCCCCCCCCCCCACACCACCTCCACCCGTGACTAGGCCTTCAGCCGGGCCTCTGCCCATGGCTACAGTTTACAGTGTCTCACATGAACGCTGCCACACTAGTGACCCCCACACTGCCTCCCATGTTGTGTTGGAGCTGTGCCCACTAGTGCCCACAACACTTGCCAACACCGTTGCCATAATAAACTCCCACAATACTCCCGCCACCTTCACCTATCCACGTGTTTATAAATACTCACATTTTTTTCTCTTTGCCCACAGTCGAACACACTTTCGATTTGTTGTTCCCAAGATGTACCAAGTTTATTCATTATAATTGTACTTGCATCTCCGAGACTGTTGCTACCTTCTTAAATTACACTCTAGTAGTCCATAATTGGAACACCATCGAGGGGGAGGAAGATGGGAGCGGCGTTAGCGTTTTGTTAGGTTTCAACTAATTTCTAAGAATGTAAATATATCGGTACAAGGCTGCTCCACACACACACCCAGCCAATTGACAGTGATAGTTCACGGCTGCAGTAGCTATAATATTGGGGGGTGATTGGGCATCTAAAATTGTGAGTGGCTCTGTGGCTCTTCCTTTGCCTCCCGCACCATGGGTCTTGGGCACATAACTAAGGCATCAAATAAAGTCTTAAAAATAAGCCTTTTCCTTCCTAAAGATCGGAACATTAAGCAGTGGAAATTAAAAGCTACGAGTGTTTACAGAAGCTTTAACTTGTGTCTAACGTACGGCATTACTGGAGCACAATGCAGATGTTTGCATGGTGAGGGGACGAGTGTGTAAACACCACCACTGACTCAACACTCCCGTCCCATTGTGCCTACTTAACATCCAGAAGGATGTTTTAGTCCTCTCCTTTGTAGTGGAGGTGGAACATGTTCTCCATCTCTTCCTCACCAACACTCAAAAGCAAAGGGGAGTCGTAATTGTATAACACATGTGAAGACTATCTCCTCCACTAAGATAGTTTCAGCCCAAACTCTTAGTGAGCTAGAAACCATTTCGCAGGCCAGAAAAACACACGAAAGGAATCATGAAATTGTTAGACCTATCGATGTGAACGGGTTAGGTTAGGCCCACGTTCTTGCCTTAGAAAATTCTCTCCCCTCTCCCTCCTCTTTTCTCCTTACTTATCGTCCTCTATCTTCTCTAGTCTTCTCCTTTCCCCTTCTCGTCCTCTCCTTTCCTTCCTTTCTTTCCTTCCTTCCTTCCTTCCTTCCTTCCTTCCTTCCTTCCTTCCTTCCTTCCTTCCTTCCTTCCTTCCTTCCTTCCTTCCTTCCTTCCTTTCCTTCCTTCCTTCCTTCCTTCCTTCCTTCCTTCCTTCCTTCCTTCCTTCCTTCCTTCCTTCCTTCCTTCCTTCCTTCCTTCCTTCCTTCCTTCCTTCCTTCCTTCCTTCCTTCCTTCCTTCCTTCCTTCCTTCCTTCCTTCCTTCCTTCCTTCCCTTCCTTCCTTCCTTCCTTCCTTCCTTCCTTCCTTCCTTCCTTCCTTCCTTCCTTCCTTCCTTCCTTCCTTCCTTCCTTCCTTCCTTCCTTCCTTCCTTCCTTTCCTTCCTTCCTTCCTTCCTTCCTTCCTTCCTTCCTTTTTCCTTCCTTCCTTCCTTCCTTCCTTCCTTCCTTCCTTCCTTCCTTCCTTCCTTCCTTCCTTCCTTCCTTCCTTCCTTCCTTCCTTCCTTCCTTCCTTCCTTCCTTCCTTCCTTCCCTTCCTTCCTTCCTTCCTTCCTTTCCTTCCTTCCTTCCTTCCTTCCTTTCCTTCCTTCCTTCCTTCCTTCCTTCCTTCCTTCCTTCCTTTCCTTCCTTCCTTCCTTCCTTCCTTCCTTCCTTCCTTCCTTCCTTCCTTCCTTCCTTCCTTCCTTCCTTCCTTCCTTCCTTCCTTCCTTCCTTCCTTCCTTCCTTCCTTCCTTCCTTCCTTCCTTCCTTCCTTCCTTCCTTCCTTCCTTCCTTCCTTCCTTCCCTTCCTTCCTTCCTTCCTTCCTTCCTTCCTTCCTTCCTTCCTTTCCTTCCTTCCTTCCTTCCTTCCTTCCTTCCTTCCTTCCTTCCTTCCTTCCTTCCTTCCTTCCCTTCCTTCCTTCCTTCCTTCCTTCCTTTCCTTCCTTCCTTTCCTTCCTTCCTTCCTTCCTTCCTTCCTTCCTTCCTTCCTTCCTTCCTTCCTTCCTTCCTTCCTTCCTTTCCTTCCTTCCTTCCTTCCTTTCCTTCCTTCCTTCCTTCCTTTCCTTCCTTCCTTCCTTCCTTCCTTCCTTCCTTCCTTCCTTCCTTCCTTCCTTCCTTCCTTCCTTCCTTCCTTCCTTCCTTCCTTCCTTCCTTCCTTCCTTCCTTCCTTCCTTCCTTCCTTCCTTCCTTCCTTCCTTCCTTCCTTCCTTTCCTTCCTTCCTTCCTTCCTTCCTTCCTTCCTTCCTTCCTTCCTTCCTTCCTTTCCTTCCTTCCTTCCTTCCTTCCTTCCTTCCTTCCTTCCTTCCTTCCTTCCTTCCTTCCTTCCTTCCTTCCTTCCTTCCTTCCTTCCTTCCTTCCCTCCCTCCCTCCCTCCCTCCCTCCCTCCCTCCCTCCCTCCCCTCACACTCCTCCCTCTCTCTCAACACGTCGTAGTTGATAATATGGGTTACACTGGCATCTGGCATCGTATCTGGCGCCAGACACAGGTAGCCTACGTGAGGTGAAGAAGCCTTAGCTGCCTTGGGGGGGGGGGGGGAGGGGATGCCAAAAACTCCAGAGGGAGGCCACAGATCATTCATGCAACCTGTTCCCGACAACCACATTGGACCCACCTGGCTTCTTTACCGTCTTTACACACTTGGCTTACCAACCTGGCTCACCCACCTGGCTCACCCACCTGGCTCGCTACTTCCCTCGCTCTGTGCCAAATCAAGTATCAGTTTGTGTGTGGAGATGGTGGCGGGACTGTGGAGTCGCCCTCGTGCCATACCCGTCTAGTACATCTCCGTTCATGTATCCAAGTTTTATTTACCTTGTAACACTTGACTTTCTCTGGTTGCCCACACCAGCCAGGAGGCCTGGCTAAAGACTGGGCCACGAGGACGCTGATCCTCGGAACCATCACAATGTAACTTCCATGTAACCTTCACATTAAGCAGACGGCTGACTTATGTTAGAAACCTCCAATAATTTCCAAGCCTAGTACTTTGTAAATATCAAAAAATGCCCAACTCGAAATTTGTGAAAATCTGTTGATTTTCATGTTAAAAAGTTGCCTGTTACATTGGATAGAATTGGCAAGACGTTATGTTAGATTAAGGCTTTGAAACATCAATTTGTAGCGTTCAAAATATAGTAAAGCTGTGATAGGAGGAGTTGTGAGGTGGAGCAGCAGATGCCTCGTTATTGACCTGTTAGGGGTGGCAGGGACCGGCCAATGGGACGAGAGCGTGCATTAGTGCAGGATGTGTGTATGCATGTGTGGAGTGTGCATATGTATGTGCACTTACGTGTGTGTGTGTGTGCGCGTGCATGCGTGTCTAGGGGCAAGAGGTGGCCACACAGCTGCTGGACCACGTGGCCAGCTGTGCGCCCAGCAACAGTACACTCCATTATTTTGGGTATCCCCATCCTGGCCACTGCTGGAGGTCTGCTGGGTGGGTGTGACAGTGTGCTGGAAAGCGAGGGCGTGAGGGTGTGTTGAAGAATGTGGGCGTGAGGGTGTGTTGAAGAATGTGGGCGTGAGGGTGTGTTGAAGAATGTGGGCGTGAGGGTGTGTTGAAGAATGTGGGCGTGAGGGTGTGCTGGAGCATATGGGCGTGAGGGTGTGCTGGAGAATGTGGGCGTGAGGGTGTGCTGGAGCATATGGGCGTGAGGGTGTGCTGGAGAATGTGGGCGTGAGGGTGTGTTGAAGAATGTGGGCGTGAGGGCGTGCTGGAGCATGTGGGCGTGAGGGCGTGCTGGAGAATGTAGGCGTGAGGGCGTGCTGGAGAATGTGGGCGTGAGGGTGTGTTGAAGAATGTGGGCGTGAGGGCGTGCTGGAGAATGTGGGCGTGAGGGCGTGCTGGAGAATGTGGGCGTGAGGGTGTGGTGGAGAGCGTGGGGCTTGTGGGCATGACTCCCACAATTGACTACGTAAGGCGTCAACACATCACCAGCTGCGATATTTTAACAAGGAAGGATAATAAAGGCTGGAGAGTGACGTTGTGGTGGTGGTAGTGTTGGAGGTGGTAGAGGGAGGTGTTGGTAGTGTTGGAGGTGGTAGAGGGAGGTGTTGGTAGTGTTGGAGGTGGTAGAGGGAGGTGTTGGTAGTGTTGGAGGTGGTAGAGGGAGGTGTTGGTAGTGTTGGAGGTGGTAGAGGGAGGTGTTGGTAGTGTTGGAGGTGGTAGAGGGAGGTGTTGGTAGTGTTGGAGGTGGTAGAGGGAGGTGTTGGTAGTGTTGGAGGTGGTAGAGGGAGGTGTTGGTAGTGTTGGAGGTGGTAGAGGGAGGTGTTGGTAGTGTTGGAGGTGGTAGAGGGAGGTGTTGGTAGTGTTGGAGGTGGTAGAGGGAGGTGTTGCATGTTACTTGTAGCGCTGCAGGTGGCAAGGAAGAAATATGCCCGTATGCATATGCATCGTGGCACCAGCCGGTCAAGCTGGTGCCTGACCGGCTGTCATTTGATAGTTGTTCCTAGACGTAATTTGAGTAAACCTTAGTGCGCTCCCGAGGTGCTGTGGGCGGTTGTGTCTTACTGTTGGGGTACGGTAGATGATAAAAGTAGATTTGTACCCAAAGAAGAAGTACTGATTTCCACATTTATTTTTATTTATTTATGGACTGGCGAGATATTTCGTCATCAGTAAGGACAGTTGTCGAGGCTAAGGGGTAGGGAGCAGGTGAGGGCTGCTGTGTTCTCAGTGCTTCAGGCACAAGATTTGCAGAAATTGTCTTCAAGCTGGGACTAGTTTATTTTTGGCGTGTAGGTGATTGGTTACGTTAGTGAAGACGTGGAAGTGTGGCGCTCCCCAGTGAACTTGGCTACATCTGTTGGTAGGAAGCCCAGCTATCAGCTGTAGAAGCCTCCCCTCTGCCAGAATACCTCTCCATGTTTTATGTTGATGTTGGTGCAGAAGTGTCTTCAGGTATGAGGGTGTAGCCGTCTTCAAGTGTGTGCTGAGTGGGTGTAGGTGTGTGGTGGTGCAGGTGTGTGGTGGTGCAGGTGTGTGGTGGTGCAGGTGGTGGGTGTAGGTGTGTGGTGGTGCAGGTGTGTGGTGGTGCAGGTGGTGGGTGTAGGTGTGTGGTGGTGCAGGTGTGTGGTGGTGCAGGTGCTGGGTGTAGGTGGTGAGTGTAGGTGTGTGGTGGTGCAGGTGGTGGGTGTAGGTGGTGAGTGTAGGTGTGTGGTGGTGCAGGTGGTGGGTGTAGGTATGTGGTGGTGCAGGTGGTGGGTGTAGGTGTGTGGTGGTGCAGGTGGTGGGTGTAGGTGTGTGGTGGTGCAGGTGGTGGGTGTAGGTGTGTGGTGGTGCAGGTGGTGGTGACCTGGTCAGCTGGAGTACCACCAGCGGCACACAAGAGGATGGTGTTCATGTGAATGCGGGTCGGGCACATGCCAGAACGGTGCAGCTATTTGAGTCGAGGGGGTGCTGGCTTGCGCGGGGCACCAGTGGCACGGTGAAGCTGTCCGGGGCCACACAGTGCCACCATCGCTGGCACCCTTTCTACCCACTCAGCGCTTCATCACCTGAGTGTCATGTGTGTGTGATTAGTGGCGTCACTCGCTGTGTCAGTGCGCCAAGGGCCACGCCGAGGCTGCCATGGAGCGTCGGGACTCGCTAAGTGATAGTGAGATGGAAGGAGAGTCGTTTTCAGAGTGTTACTCCGTTCTCCCTCCTGATGAGAGTCACTCCTCTCCTGGGAAAACCCGCCACACGCTGCTCCCTGGAACGAGCGTCGCACAACAGTCGCCTGGACCACAACACCTGCTGCGGCCCAAGTCTCCACACACCAGGGAGCTACTACGGCGGTCAAGTTGCAAGCGGCAGGCGCCGCAGCCGCCCTGCAGGCCTTCCCCCACCGCCACACCTGTACCCTCAACCATTTCCGTGCCCAGTACTACACCGGGACCCACTACCATACCCGTGCCCTCCACCATAGCGGTGCCCAACGACCCGCCCGGCCCCGTCAACACCGTTCACCTACAGATAACCTCCGGGCCGCCGGGGAGCCAGTCGGTGCCACACCAGCCTGCTGATCACACTCTCCGGCACACCAGGGTAATCAGTCAGCCAGCGCTGCCCTCACCAGTGAGTGCCACCCCTGAGGGTGCCACACTAACGACTTCCTCACAGTCAGTGTCTTCATCTCGCCCCTTGACCAACAGCCGACCCATGTCTCCCCCTCGACCCATGTCTCCTCCGTCGGTGCCAGGCGGTGTGGCAGTGGCACCGCCAGCGCCGATACGATCCGAGTCTTCACAAGTTACTACCAGGAACTACAACAACCTTATAATCAGACTTATAGACGAAGAATCGGACTCTGATACTTACCAATCAGAGACCTTCGATGATCACATTGTGTTCCGGACTATACCTGGCCCAGGGGTTCCTCAGGTCACTGGGGGTCACACGGGGCACCAGGTTGTGACCCCTTCACCCCGCCTGGCCATTACCTCTTCCCCCTCACACGTTATGATCCCTCAGGCACCCTTCGTCATCACTTCTTCAGTGTTCACGGCTCCGCAGGCACAGTTGATCACTTCGTCTCCCGCGCAGGTTAGGACTACCACCATATCGACGCCCGCGCGGGTGATGGTCACCTCGCCACAGGTACACACACACCACACACTGGCTAGGGACGAGCACAACCTCACAGTTAGAACTGACCTCAATCAAAGTGAAAATGTTATTGTGTGTGGCGATAACTACGACTTCTCTGGGAGTTTCGACGAGACTGTTGCGGAGGAGGAGTTGGAAGTGGCGACGCAGAGAGGACTCTGCCATAACATAGTGACCCGGGGTCGAGCCAGGGCCCTGATGCACTCTGCGTCTGATCCCGGAGTGCCACGCCCCCGGCGGCAGCACCACCTGCAGCAGCACCCGCGAGCCCCAGGCCTGGCCGTGCCTCCGCCCCTCGACCACCTCAGCGAAGAGGAGGTGGAAGAATCTGACTACAAAGGGTACGAGGAGGTCCCGCGGGGCAGACTGCAACGGACGGACTCGCTGGTAACAGTGGCACACCTGTACGAGGACCTGCTGGTGTCCTCCCGCTTCAGGTTGCGCGTGACGCTGACCAACCTGACGGCGGTGGTAGTGGTGGCGGCCCTCGTCGTGCCCAACACCTCTACTATACTCTACACAGTGTTCAGGTACTCCAGGCCCGCTCTACACTAACCTCCAAACCCAGCTAATACCTGCATCACCTCAGCAGTTGCTCCTCACTAGAACGCTAACACCTGACTTGCTCACATTACCAACCAGTGCTCACTAAAGGAATATTTGTCTTATGTTTGTAATAATTGTATGATGACTGCACATTGCTGTGGCCGAATGTGTTAAAATATATAATGGTATCTGCACGTATTAACAAGCTTTGTGTTCACTAAAGGTATTTGTGTGGAGACAAAGATGTTTCCTGTGAACGCGGCTGGTATGTTCCACCGTTCTCTTTAATGAAGACCCAAATGAGTAAAAATAATATATATATATATATATATATATATATATATATATATATATATATATATATATATATATATATATATATATATATATGCAACAACGATCACAAAAACACTGATCCAAGTATGCGGAAAAAACTACATTTGAAAAATAGAGAATGCTTAACGCGTTTTCGGCTTAATTCGCCTTCATCAGAGCAAAGTAGAATTATTCTATTTTGTTTTGATAAAGGCGAATTAAACCGAAAACGCGTTAAGCATTCTCTATTTTAAAATATATAATATATTTATATAAAGTGTGTGTGTGAGTTTAATTAATATAAATCTTGCAGTTGCCTGGTGTTTCCTTATTGAATTGTAAAATTCAAGTCCAGCCATATTCTTATAGCCATGGTTCTTGCTTTATGTGAAATATGTGTAAATGGTAATTAATAATCACTAGACATCGTTCCGTATATTGTGTTGAAGGCCTTAATAAATAAGTTTGGTAGTTGGAGAATGGAAGTGTTCGTATGGGTGCATGTTGCTGTACCTGGCTATTCTGGTCCTGGAACCCGAAGCTCCGCTAACTTGAGACGCGATGTTGCTGCGAGTGTTGGGGGGGGGGGGGGGGGGCTGGTAGTGTGTGTGTGTATAGAGGGAGTTTGTATTTGTCTGTGTTACCAGTTGTTGGAGGCACAGTATAACATAGGACCCCCCACCCCCTTCTGCGTGTCCTTGCCTGGAAGTTACGTTGAAGTGTTTCCGGGGCTTAGCGTCCCCGCGGTCCGGTCGTCGACCAGGCCTCCTTGTTGCTGAACTGGTCAACCAGGCTGTTGGACGCGGCTGCTCGCAGCCTGACGTATGAATCACAGCCTGGTTGATCAGATATCCTTTGAAGGTGCTTATCCAGTTTTCTCTTGAACACTGTGAGGGGTCCACTACACTTAAGGGGCTTATGCCCCTTAAGTGTAGTGGAAGCGTGTTGAACAGTCTCGGGCCTCTGATGTTGATAGTTCTCTCTCAGAGTACTTGTTGCACCTCTGCTCTTCAACGTGGGTATTCTGCACATCCTGCTTGTAGCTCCTGGTCTCATGTGATGTTATTTCTGTGTGCAGGTTTGGGACCAGCCCCTCTAATATTTTCCACGTATAAATTATTATGTATCTCTCCCGCCTGCACTCAAGAGAATACAGATTTAGGCTCTTTAGTCGGTCCCAGTAGTTAAGATGTTTTACTGAGTGGATTCTAGCAGTAAAGGATCTCTGCACGCTCTCCAGGTCAGCAATTTCTCCAGCTTTGAAAGGGGCTGTCATTGTGCAGCAGTACTCCACTCTAAGAGAGCACTATCGTCTTGAAAAGTCCTCGCTAGATCCCTTCTCCCCACTCCTGCATGTCTAAACTCGTCACGAGGTTAAACATGCACATGGTGTGGTGGTGTATGGCGCACATGGTGTGGTGGTGGTGTATATGGTGCACATGGTGTGTGGTGGTGGTGCACATGATGTGTGGTGGTGTATATGGTGCACATGATGTGTGGTGGTGTATATGGTGCACATGGTGTGTGGTGGTGGTGGTGCACATGGTGTATGGTGGTGTATATGGTGCACACGGTGTGTGGTGGTGTATATGGTGCACATGGTGTGGTGGTGGTGGTGGTGGTGTATATGGTGCACACGGTGTGTGGTGGTGTATATGGTGCACATGGTGTGTGGTGGTGGTGGTGTATATGGTGCACACGGTGTGTGGTGGTGTATGGTGCACATGGTGTGTGGTGGTGGTGGTGCAGCACCACGGGTCATGATGGTGGTATATATGGTGTGTGGTGGTGGTGGTGGTGCAGCACCATGGGTCATGATGGTGGTATATATGGTGTGTGGTGGTGGTGGTGCAGCACCATGGGTCATGATGGTGGTATATATGGTGTGTGGTGGTGGTGGTGGTGCAGCACCATGGGTCATGATGGTGGTATATATGGTGTGTGGTGGTGGTGGTGGTGCAGCACCATGGGTCATGGTGGTGGTATATATGGTGTGTGGTGGTGGTGCAGCACCATGGGTCATGGTGGTGGTATATATGGTGTGTGGTGGTGGTGGTGGTGCAGCACCACGGGTCATGGTGGTGGTATATATGGTGTGTGGTGGTGGTGGTGGTGCAGCACCACGGGTCATGGTGGTGGTATATATGGTGTGTGGTGGTGGTGGTGGTGCAGCACCACGGGTCATGGTGGTGGTATATATGGTGTGTGGTGGTGGTGGTGCAGCACCACGGGTCATGATGGTGGTATATATGGTGTGTGGTGGTGGTGGTGGTGCAGCACCACGGGTCATGATGGTGGTATATGTGGTGTGTGGTGGTGGTGGTGCAGCACCATGGGTCATGGTGGTGGTATATATGGTGTGTGGTGGTGGTGGTGCAGCACCATGGGTCATGGTGGTGGTATATATGGTGTGTGGTGGTGGTGGTGCAGCACCATGGGTCATGGTGGTGGTATATATGGTGTGTGGTGGTGGTGGTGCAGCACCATGGGTCATGGTGGTGGTATATATGGTGTGTGGTGGTGGTGGTGCAGCACCATGGGTCATGGTGGTGGTATATATGGTGTGTGGTGGTGGTGGTGCAGCACCATGGGTCATGGTGGTGGTATATATGGTGTGTGGTGGTGGTGGTGGTGGTGGTGCAGCACCATGGGTCATGATGGTGGTATATATGGTGTGTGGTGGTGGTGGTGCAGCACCACGGGTCATGATGGTGGTGGTGCAGCACCATGGGTCATGATGGTGGTGGTGCAGCACCATGGGTCATGATGGTGGTGGTGCAGCACCATGGGTCATGATGGTGGTATATATGGTGTGTGGTGGTGGTGGTGCAGCACCATGGGTCATGGTGGTGGTATATATGGTGTGTGGTGGTGGTGGTGCAGCACCATGGGTCATGATGGTGGTATATATGGTGTGTGGTGGTGGTGGTGCAGCACCATGGGTCATGGTGGTGGTATATATGGTGTGTGGTGGTGGTGGTGCAGCACCATGGGTCATGGTGGTGGTATATATGGTGTGTGGTGGTGGTGGTGCAGCACCATGGGTCATGGTGGTGGTATATATGGTGTGTGGTGGTGGTGGTGCAGCACCATGGGTCATGATGGTGGTATATATGGTGTGTGGTGGTGGTGGTGCAGCACCATGGGTCATGGTGGTGGTATATATGGTGTGTGGTGGTGGTGGTGCAGCACCATGGGTCATGGTGGTGGTATATATGGTGTGTGGTGGTGGTGGTGCAGCACCATGGGTCATGATGGTGGTATATATGGTGTGTGGTGGTGGTGGTGCAGCACCATGGGTCATGGTGGTGGTATATATGGTGTGTGGTGGTGGTGGTGCAGCACCATGGGTCATGATGGTGGTATATATGGTGTGTGGTGGTGGTGGTGCAGCACCATGGGTCATGATGGTGGTATATATGGTGTGTGGTGGTGGTGGTGCACCATGGGTCATGATGGTGGCATATATGGTGTGTGGGCGCAGGAGAGTCTTGAGATGTGTCCTGGCGCTGGTGTCTTGAGTAGTTGGTAATTGGTGTACAGAGAAGGGCAGGGTCGACGCCAGCGTTGGCTGGCAGCCTCTCACTGCTCCCTGTCCCGTATCTGGTCACTGCTCCCTGTCCCGTAGCTTGTCACTGCTCCCTGTCCCGTAGCTGGTCACTGCTCCCTGTCCCGTAGCTGGTCACTGCTCCCTGTCCCGTAGCTGGTCACTGCTCCCTGTCCCGTAGCTGGTCACTGCTCCCTGTCCCGTAGCTTGTCACTGCTCCCTGTCCCATAGCTGGTCACTGCTCCCTGTCCCGTAGCTTGTCACTGCTCCCTGTCCCGTAGCTTGTCACTGTTCCCTGTCCCGTAGCTTGTCACTGCTCCCTGTCCCGTAGCTTGTCACTGCTCCCTGTCCCGTAGCTTGTCACTGCTCCCTGTCCCGTAGCTTGTCACTGCTCCCTGTCCCGTAGCTTGTCACTGCTCCCTGTCCCGTAGCTGGTCATTGCTCCCTGTCCCGTAGCTTGTCACTGCTCCCTGTCCCGTAGCTGGTCACTGCTCCCTGTCCCGTAGCTGGTCACTGCTCCCTGTCCCGTAGCTGGTCACTGCTCCCTGTCCCGTAGCTTGTCACTGCTCCCTGTCCCGTAGCTTGTCACTGCTCCCTGTCCCGTAGCTTGTCACTGCTCCCTGTCCCGTAGCTTTTCACCTCTCACACCCAGTGATATATAATGAAATATACGGCTGAGGTATATAATGAAGTACACACCGCAGGTGTTGTGACGACTCCAGACATTCACGTTGATATCTTTCTCACGTGACAAGTCCGCCTCCTCGATGAGTATAGATATACACCAGTAGAATTGTCTTTTTTAAGTTGGGTCATTGTTTGATACATGTATCACCTTCCCGGAGGACGGTAGCCTCCCTGAGAGCCCCCCACCCCGTCACCGGGTGAGACTGGTATATTTACCTCCCCCCCCCCCCCCCCCCCGCTGTCCATGCCCCTCCCCCCCCCCCCCCGCTGTCCATGCCCCTCCCCCCCCCCTTCCTCCCTCCAGTGTGAAATATCTAGTGATGGGGCGAACAGTTGAATTTGCACTCCAGAACAACACACTTGCAACCCCCCGTGTTATATTTTCGCAAGTGTAACGTGATAATTTTCTTCTGGCCGGGAGACTGAGTGTTTTAGCTGCGTCAGTGTACTGGCAGTCTCGTCTGCTTGTGTGTTAACGTGTAATTTTAACGAGAAAGTCAATTCTCATTCCACAGTGCAAAGGGTGGTATTGCATCATCACAAAGTTGCAGTGTTGTTGTTGTTAACTGCATGTTTGGTGGAGTTGTCTCCTTGATATACTAACATCTTAACCTATTTGTATACTCTGTTAAATCATTTTCAGATGTGTTTCTATATGGCACTTATGAAATTCATGCAGTTTTACTTTGTGAGATGTTGTAGTGACATGTATTGTGTGTGTAACCCCTGGAGGGCAAGGCGACCACACTGTGCTCACACTTGACCTTGTACTTGCAGATTAGTGTTTGGGACACTGTTCCCGGCCTACTACTCCTACAAGGCTGTCAAGACCAAAAACGTCAAAGAATACGTGAGTACTTTTTATTACTACTACTATTATTATTATTATTATTATTATTATTATTATTATTATTATTATTATTATTATTATTATTATTATTATTATTATCATCATTATCATTAACATACCTGGTTGTTTACCCAGCTGCCCTTGAGTATATAAAGGGTTACATAGTTTGTGTTAAGAGGGAGTTGTGTGATAGTAAAACCCGTCTTTCAGGATGGTTAATGGTACGGGGGCATGGGATCAGTAACCTCCACCGGCAATTTATTTATTAATTTATTTATGTCATGTAGAGAGGGATATCCTGACCTAGTTCCTTCTCACAAAGTTTACATCATGGGTGCTGAGGACTGGGAGACCCGTCACCTTAGCCTCCTGCACTCCTGCTGGACGCTTTGTGCTGCCCACAATAGAACTGTTGTTTTAGCTCCCGTCTTGGTATGGGAACTAAACCAATGAAAACTTTCATACTTATGCTTTCAGGTCATGGAGTCAACGTCATCTCACCAGACCAGAAGTCACACAAGCAGTTGCATGTCTGCTTAAGAAACCTGTGCATCTTTCCTCAGTAATGGCTGCTCAGCCTTTATTTATTAAATTGTTTGAGCTTTGAAACATGGCAACCCAATATTATTATTGCTATAGACAACCTCGCAGCGCTTCGGAGTTCATAAACTATTTAATAAAGGTAAAGAGCTGTCATGATTAAGGAAAGATGTGCAGTTCTCGTAAGTGGACACTTCATTGCTTGGCAAATCTTGGCCCTGGTAAGAGACGTGGCCTCTGAGGGCAGTAATCCCAAGGTGGACTTAAGATAGGTGGGTTGAGGTAGTCGGTGTGTGGGAGGGGGGGGGGGGGGTTATTAACCATGCCCACATTAGCTTAAATATTTATACTCGCCTGAGAGATATCTTGAATGCGTTTCAGATAACAGTAAAAGGGGAAGCCTCTTTAAGGAGATCTGTTTTTCTTCAAGCGTGAACCAACCTTGGTGTGTATGTGTGTACTTAGTTATGCTTGCGGGGGTTGAGCTCTGGCTCTTTGGTCCCGCCTCTCAGCTGTCAATCAACTGGTGTACAGGTTCCTGAGTCTACTGAGCTCTATCATATCTACACTTGAAACTGTATATGGAGTCTGCCTCCGCCACATCACTGTCTAATGCATTACATTTGTCAACTACTGACACTAAAAAAGTTTTTTCTAATATCTCTGTGGCTCATTTGGGCACTCAGTTTCCACCTGTGTCCCCTAGTGCGTGTGCCCCTTGTGTTAAATAGCCTGTCTTTCTCTACCCTGTCAATTCATTTGAGAATCTTGAATGTGGTGATCATGTCCCCCCTAACTCTTCTGTCTTCCAGCGACGTGAGGTTTAATTCCCGTAGTCTTTCCTAGTAGTTCATACCTCTCAGCTCGGGTACTAGTTTGGTGGCAAACCTTTAAACCTTTTCCAGTTTAATCTTATGCTTGACTAGATATGGACTCCATGCTGGGGCTGCATACTCCAGGATTGGCCTGACATATGTGGTATACAAAGTTCTGTATGATTCCTTACACAAGTTTCTAAATGCCGTTCTTAAGTTGGCCAACCTGGCATATGCTGCTGATGTTATCCTCTTGATATGGGCTGCAGGGGACAGGTCTGGCGTGATATCAACCCCCAAGTCTTTTTCTCTCTCTGACTCTTGAAGAATTTTATCTCCCAAATGATACCTTGTATCTGGCCTCCTGCTCCCTGCACCTATCTTCATTATATTACAGTTGCTTGGGTTAAACTCTAACAGCCATTTGTTCAACCATTCCTTCAATTTGTCTAGGTCTTCTTGAAGCCTCACGCTGTCCTCCTCCTGTCTTTTCTTTGTGTGTGCGTGGGGGGGGGTGTTAACTGATAACTGGGATGGAAAGGAAGCTATGTTAGGCTGGCCGCCGTCGCTGCACCATAATATGGGCATGACATGTGTTAGTGTTGTGTGTATAGTGATCATTCCGTCTCTCCTCTCGTCCTCTTCGTGTCCCAACTTTGCAATTACCTTAATAGTATCTCCTCTTATCTTCCCTCAACTTTTCTAACTATTCTCATTGTAGAATAGTTAGAAAAGAAACATAAAACAGAAATAAATAACATAAATAACAGAAACATACGAATTCAACGAATTCTCTTTTGTTTCGCAGGCTTAAGATCGTTGCTTTTCCACAACTGGTGTTGCCCTACTAGTTTACCCTGGAACATGACTTGCTAGCGGCTTCCCAGTCAGGTCCCAAATTATGCTGGGTGGATAGGGGCAAAATTAAGGCTCTATGCCCAGACGACCCATCCTTCCCAGGGTTCGAACCTGGCCGATAGTTCTCCTTCCTTCCTCCACGCGCGTGCTGGCTCTCTGTGTCTGTGTCTGCCAGAATACGGATTATTTTAACTTGTGTTGGTTCCAGGGATCAATATCGACGCAGCCCGGTAGCTGACCAGGGGCCAGATTCACGAAGCAGTTACGCACGTACTTACGAACGTGTACATCTTTCCTCAATCTTTGACGGCTTTGGTTACATTTATGAAACAATTTACAAGCATGAAAACTTCCCACTCAACTGTTGTTATTGTTATAAATAGCCTCCTGGTGCTTCGGAGCTCATTAATTGTTTAATAATTTTAAACAAAGCCGCCAAAGAGTAAGAAAAGATGTACACGTTCGTAAGTACATGCGTAACTGCTTCGTGAATCTGGCCCCAGGCCTCCTGGTTAGTTGTTACGTCAACCGGGCTGTAAGACGCAGCTGCTCGAAGTCTGACGTGTGGATCACAGCCCGGTTGATCAGGTATCCACTGTAGCTGTTTATTGAGTTTTCTTTTGAACACCGTAAGAGGTTGGTTAGTTATTCCTCTTATTAATAGACAAGGGCAGAGACCGCCATCCTTTTGATTCTCATTTCCTTTTGTTTTTTTTTACCAACCTCGTTCTCACCATTGGAGCACCTCCCTACAACCTCGCTCTCACTATTGGAGCACCTCCTACACCACGTTCTCACCTAACGACAATTAACAGTTACTATTGCTGCGACAAATACATATAATCATACCACAAGCCCTGTAGTGTTATCTGTTAAAACTGCACGTAAATGATTTTAGAAGACATTCAGTTCAGGACACTTGTGAGTCCTTTAGTGTGTTAAAGTACAGTACAAGACAGTAGTAATCCCATAATTACTGTCCTAGAGGGAGGGTGTTGAAGTCTTGGACATTTAATGTTTACAAAATTGTCTCATAACGTACTGATGAAATCTAATAGTTTTCAGAGTGGTCTGCCTCTTCTACCCATTATGACTTATATTCTACTAGTGCAGTTAGCGGGACTTATATTCTACTAGTGCAGTTAGCGGGACTTATATTCTACTAGTGCAGTTAGCGGGACTTATATTCTACTAGTGCAGTTAGCGGGACTTATATTCTACTAGTGCAGTTAGCGGGACTTATATTCTACTAGTGCAGTTAGCGGGACTTATATTCTACTAGTGCAGTTAGCGGGACTTATATTCTACTAGTGCAGTTAGCGGGACTTATATTCTACTAGTGCAGTTAGCGGGACTTATATTCTACTAGTGCAGTTAGCGGGACTTATATTCTACTAGTGCAGTTAGCGGGACTTGTATTCTACTAGTGCAGTTAGCGGGACTTATATTCTACTAGTGCAGTTAGCGGGACTTATATTCTACTAGTGCAGTTAGTGGGACTTGTATTCTACTAGTGCAGTTAGCGGGACTTATATTCTACTAGTGCAGTTAGCGGGACTTATATTCTACTAGTGCAGTTAGCGGGACTTATATTCTACTAGTGCAGTTAGCGGGACTTATATTCTACTAGTGCAGTTAGCGGGACTTATATTCTACTAGTGCAGTTAGCGGGACTTATATTCTACTAGTGCAGTTAGCGGGACTTATATTCTACTAGTGCAGTTAGCGGGACTTATATTCTACTAGTGCAGTTAGCGGGACTTATATTCTACTAGTGCAGTTAGCGGGACTTGTATTCTACTAGTGCAGTTAGCGGGACTTGTATTCTACTAGTGCAGTTAGCGGGACTTGTATTCTACTAGTGCAGTTAGCGGGACTTATATTCTACTAGTGCAGTTAGCGGGACTTATATTCTACTAGTGCAGTTAGTGGGACTTGTATTCTACTAGTGCAGTTAGCGGGACTTATATTCTACTAGTGCAGTTAGCGGGACTTGTATTCTACTAGTGCAGTTAGTGGTTAAAAATATGGCACACCTACTTCTCTGATGGTCTATATATATGATGGTTGTTGTCTTGCCTCACTAATAGACGACTAAAGATATAAGTGCAGTACAGAATGTTCGTGATATTCCCTGTGGAGTTGAGAGGTTTACGGGTCACACACACACTCAAACTTGATCATTGTGGTGATGTTTGCCAGCCAGGATGATACTAGGGTTGGGAGCTTTATGAATACGTTAGCGAAGCGAGTTGTATGTACAGTATTGACAGTTTCATGAATATCCAATTTGGACTTACTGGAAGCAATGACTAGTTGAGAGGTGGAAGGAGGAAATGTGTAAAGGTTGTGTGTATCTACCTAGTTGTTCTTGCGGGGGTTGAGCTCTGCTCTTTCGGCCCGCCTCTCAACTGTAACTAACTAATGCTTTTTGTCCCCTCCCCCCCAAACACACGCCCAGGAAGCAGCTCCGTAACAGCTGGCTAACTCCCAGGGACTTATTTACTGCTAGGTAACATGGGCATCAGGGTGACAAACTTTGCCCATTTGTTTCTGTCTGGTCCGGGAATCGAACCCGTGCCACAGAATTACGAGTCCTGCGCGCTGTCCGCTCAGCTACCAGACCCCGTGTGTGTGTGTATTCACCTAGTTGTACTTGCGGGGTTGAGCTCTACTCTTTTGGCCCGCCTCTCAGCTGTCAATCAACTGTTTCTACTACTACATTTTTTTCCCCCACACCACACACGCCAGGAAGCAGCCCGTGACAGCTGACTAACTCCCAGGTAC